GAGACTGAGCCCTCGTGGGATGCTGAGGACTGGACCAGCCACCACTCAATGCTTGTGGATCACTCTGTCCTGCCTCTGCTCTCTCTGCTGGGGATGAAAGCCTGCCATCATCTAGAGTTGACAAAAAGCAAGAAATCACCTGTTCAGACGTGATAAAGAAAACCAGTAGTACATGCAAAGCTAAGGTTAAAAAACTCTCACAAATAGCTCTTTTGGATCATGATTAAACAAAACAAATGAATTTTTAGTTTTAGAAGTACTATACACATCACATAAACAGGAGAATAGGCTGTCTTCAAGGCTCAGGCTATTTCAGAAATTCCCTAATGTGAAAAGTGTCAAAAAAATCCCTGGCACGTTATTTGTGAGTATGAATGTGAATGATTCTTGCTAAATAGAATAGCCACACTTGACTATCAGCTTCTGCCTTGAAAAGAGATTTTCAGTTATTTTACAAGCCAGTACTGAGGTCACAGTAAAGTTACCACAGCCTTTAATTTCCATCAGCAGATCAAGTACAGACAGGTTCTCATCGATTCCAGTAAGATGCACATTTCATGTGTTGTTTCAAGGTTGTTTTCCCATTCACTTAACAAAGACATTGCTGACTAAAGCTACATTTGTCAGAAAAAAACAAGTGAATCCAATATTGACCACATTTTATGCTACTTCCAATAAATTAACAATGACAGGTGCTACTCTAGTATGCAAACTAATAGCAGTCATACCAAGTAATTATTTTTCATTCTGCATAAGAAGAGTCTGAACAGATCAGTTACACAAAAAGCTGATTGGCTCTTTTCCCCCAGCTCAAACACTGCTGAAATATGCTTAACAAAGCTGGATAATGAACAGACTAAACAAAAGCAGCTGACCAGTGTGCCATCTCCAGTAAATAGATATGCAGACTTTGCACAAAATCCAGGTGCGTTCATTCACCATTCTTTGCAGGATCTTTCTTTGAAACAAAAAGGAACTCACACAGTTCTTTCAGAGTTTCCCACTGAGAACACATTTAATGACACATGCAGCACAAAGGCCAAAATCATGTAATACTTTTTAATATACAAAACTTTCACAACACTTCAGACTTCTTGATAGGGAACATCTAAGTCATACAAATTAAGTGTGGACTTCCTGCTTTATTGCAGGTCAGCTGTCACCCAGCTGCAGGTACGAGATGCACAGGAAGCTGAGAGGAGGATGAAGTCTGAAGTAAGAACTTGCACTGGAAGGACAAGCACACATTTTGCTCATACAGGCTGGCAGAGGGTTACTCCTACTTTCAGCCCGAAAAAGAAAAAATCATCTGATGTCAAGCTAAGAATCTATACAATACTACCTGCTAACTGGCTTGTCTTTGACTTTCATGGGCAGCTACAGATAGCCAGCCGCAAGACTCTGGCTATCTTGTCTCATAATAAAGCTCTCCTCCATCACCCAAAAGCCAGATGTGACACCCCTCACAAAAGAGCTGACATCAGCCCTTTGACATTATGTTCTATGTTCAGAGGTGTTTTTACACCTCTGAACATAGCAGCAAACAGCACACACAAGCCATGCCCACACATCCCCCCAGCACTCACCTTTGCTGAAACGGAAGAGATTTACAAAAGAACTGTAAGCTGATTTAAAAGGAGGCTCATCCTGGTCAGGAGTCAGAGGTTTGAAGTGAGTGAGATGAGATGGACTGCTGGGAGAACGAGGTAGATCACTGGTAGAGTCCAGTGTGGGAGAGCGTTTGTCATCTGCAGCCATTTCAGGTGCCCTGGAAAGAGGTCAGCAACACACATTACACAAGGGGTGGTGAAACAGAACCTCTTCAGTCTTCTGAGCAGGAGATGTCTCATTAGATCCCAGAGGACAGACATTCACCCAACTGACCACAGGCACCTGCTATTAGCACAGATCAAGCATGCCAGAGGGGCCCATGCCCCCTGCCCAGCCACTGACAAGAGAGCAGCACCTCTGCAGAGTGTAATTCAGAGTGCCCAGTTAAACATCCAGAACAACAAAATAAACAACCACTACACGGATGACACACCGCAGGAGAGGTTTATGAGAACCTGGAGTTTTCAAACAGAGACTCTGCAGGCATATCACAAAGAAGTTTTAACTTTGACAGCTTTTCTCCTAATGTTGTGAGTTCTGCAGCCCTTGTAACAAAACTGAAAACAGGCATGCCTGAGCAAGCACAAGGCAGACTTGTTGTTTGGCCAGGTTAACTTCAGAATGAACTACAAAACAAAAACAGGACTGAAGGATTAATTTTGGTGGGAAGCTGTTTCCCTCCCCTCTGCATTACAATACAGGCCCTTGTGCAAGTTACCAGGGAAGCAACCCGAACTGTGGTTTATTTGCCAAATCTAACACCTTCAAGCATCCTCGTTTTCAGGAGCAGCTCCATTTAGGAAAAACAAACAAAAACCCCAAACCACTTTCTGTATTAGGAGAAGCCATACTTGTAAACCCTATTTTCTGTGTACCAAAGCTGCCATACAGCCAAGAGTCATACTTTTCCCCAACCCACACTCTTTAAGCTGATCAGACACCCAATTTCTTTCACAACACCTCACTCAGCCTGCATTTCTAGCCTGCTAGGCTAAGGTGCTTACCACTTTCATCTTTGTTTAAGGAAGATTTAGTGAAATGTTTGAGAGAGTAGGAACACTCACTCTCTCAAGGAGCTGATGGAGCCTGTGAGTGACAGCTGATTTTTACCTGTGCCAAGGATCAAAACCCCTTATGAATCTACTACCTGCTTAACAGCTGATACCCACTTCTTTATGAAATAACGATTTCCAGTTCCCACAATTGTTCCCTAGAACTTACAGGCATATACTGCTGACTAGAATATATTCTTCCAAGTTCCAAGAAGCCACACTGAAAGAAATTTGTGCAGTCCAGAGAAAATCAACATAATCAGCAGGTAACACTGAAAGTGCTAACAAGCAGCTTGTGTGGCAAGGTTTGACTTTTCCTACAAAGAATGCCAAAAAGATGTATCTGCAAGTCATTCACATGACTTCTCAGTGGACTTCTGCTTGTTGCTCTGTACAGTAAGCACCTTCAGCTCAGAGCTTCTTTTGCTATTCACATGTCCTCAGGAAAGAAAGCAGAGAGGCACCATTTACTAAGTTTCAAGAGAAACTTTGTTCAGATTCTTTATGTAAGGCTGAGTCTTAGCCTTCCACATCCCTCTGCCCTGCAAATCAGGGTATGTTGTTTTGTTGTTCATTTCACCAGTATTATTCAAACAGGTGATTTGAATGTACTTAAACACCAGAGTTCATGGAACATTTTCCTTGAATCACACTCTTCAGGCAAGTTTGGAATTGTTTCTTCAATCTTAAGGCAACTAATAGTTTGCTTTTTAAATGCTGAACATACAACAAGGGTGTACCTTCACACACAATACCACATTAAAAATCCTACTACGAAGTCAAACAGTTTTGTAGGAAACTATGTTCCTATTTCAGCAACTGACTATAGCCTGGCAAAATAAGAGTTACAAGCAAGTCTCTGAATGTGCATTAAATATGTATATATATATATGTGTATAGATAGATAGATATAGATATATGTATAGATAGATATATATATGTATATATGTGTGATTATAGAAACTTGCATTTCAAGGGGGTAAAATCCCATAACTGCTTCTGTCACAGCAGTACTGGTCTAATTAAAACTATTAAAAAGAATAGCATTATACCTAGCGTTAGCTCCAGAAACACCAAGATCTTCTGTGCTTACAACACAGCAGCTGTAGAATCTATCGGCCTTTCTATGCTTTAGCTGTCCCACTAAAGGGAAAATACTCCCCCCCATCCCACCACAAGAAACCAAGAAATAGTCACTTCTTTGTATAACATGGGAAAAGGGAAAGCAAGGTGCACATACCGGTCAACAAGCACAAAACCAGAGTACATTCCTCACAGCATCCTCACCAACAGCCACGGGAACGTATCTAAAGCCAGTCGAAGCTGCAGCTTCAGCAACCACCAACTCATCACCGACACAATCCGGAGTACGAGGGTGAGCCCCCCTTCCCACAGGCCCTGCCGCTCCCCGCAGAGCGGCGCCGGGACACCCAGCGTCCCACAGCCCCGACCACAGCCGCCAGTGCCGGGAGGACTCGGCCCCTCCTGCTTACACACACACCACCGCCGGGCACCGGATCACACAGCCCGATGCGCGCCACCCGCGATTCAGACATAACTGCGCGGCTGACACGCTTCGCTCTCCCCTCTGTGCAGGGGACACCGCCGCCTTCCCCCGCCCGGGATGGCAGTCCCGGGGATCGCCTGCGACGGGACGGCGCGGATGCGGTGAGCAGCGAGCCGCGGAGAGCCGCCACCGGCCGCTACCAGGGGCCGGCCCGGGCAGCCCGGAGAAGGCCGGCGGAGCAGGGGCCCCGCGGCGCGGCCCTGGCGGGCGGTGCTCACCTGCTGCCCGCGGCTGCGGTGCCGGTGCTGGGGCGGCACCGCCGCTCTTCCTTCACCGCCCGGCCCGGCAGCGCCCGGCCCCGCCCCCCGGCCCTTCGCGGTGCTCCGGCCGGGCGCGGCGCACCCGGGCTGCTGCCTCGGGAGCCGCCGGCAGTGCGGCGAGCCGGAGTGTCCCGCGGGAACTTGGAGTGCGCCCTATTTTATTAATATCCCCTTCTCTTCTATTCCCGCCCCGTGGTTCCTCCCCGGCCACTCTCCCCGCCTCGCCCCAGCCCCAGAGAGGTGCCCGCCGCTGCCCTCGGGGCCGTGGTGTCGACACCGCCGCCCCAGCCCCAGGGGACCAGCCCGTGCTCGCTGTGGGCACCGCATCCCTGCGCTGGGCTGCGGCGCTCTCCCGGGCCGCGCCCGAGCCCCCGGCGCCGGCGGGCTCCCGGGCACTCACTGCGCGGGGCCGCCAGAGCGCGGAACGGGCCCGGCCCGGAACGGCAGCCGCATAAAGGGCCCCGCGCACGGCCCGGCCCCGCAGCGCCGCCGCACCGCCGTACGGAACGGACCGGACCGGCACCGGGCCTGCAGGTAAAGGGCACCGCCAGCGCGCCGCGCTTTCGGCGGCCGCACAGCACCCTTTGTCCTTTCTCTCCTGGGGGCGGCGCCCAGCAGCGGGTCCCCCAGGGGTGGGATTGTGTTTAAGGGCTTTTTTCCCTCGGTGCGGACGAGACCCCGCGACCGCGCCCCGCCGCGGCTGTCGCTGAGGGTGCTGCACCCCGGGGACAGGGCCAGGCTGTCTCCTCACGTAGTCCTCGGGTCTCCCGCTAGTCGGTGGTGTCCGTGACGCGGGCTGGGCTCGGGGGCCCTCGCCTGTCCCCAGCCGCTTGGGGAGCGGCCGCAGTGGCGGCCGTGCCGGGGTTTCAGCCTTGGCCGTGGCGGCGGCTGCTGCCCCCGGCCCGGTGGGAAAATCCCCCGTGTGCCACCAGATCGCCTTGTCAGAGGCGAGTGCAGCCGAGAGAACTCGGTTGGTGCCAGCGACCCGCCCCGTGCCCCTGCAGCCTCCTCCTCCAGGGAGATCAGCTGTGCGCCGGAGTTACGGGCTTGTCGCAATAGTTAATGATTGCCCGTAGGCCCCGAGCCCTTGCTCGGCACCAAGAGGTATTTGGAAATAGACGGTTTCTGTAAGTTGCCTTGGCTGTGTGCCTGGGTTAAGTGTATTTAAAGAAGAGCTGCTGCAGAGGAAAGACCTTGCCGGGTTTTGGCAGTTGAGTATAAAATCAGAGGGGACGAGTGACAGAGTTGAACTCTAGGGAATGTGTGCTCTCTAGAGGAGCCTCTCGGCATGTGGACTGGTGTGCAGAAGAGGGATGCTACTGCAGTACTGCCCCAGTTCATAGAGAAACTGGGGACACTGGTGACTGAGGATGGGAAAAGTGCCAGTACCTGGGCTGTGATCCCATAAACGTGTTGGATGCTGTCAGAGTGGTTGAAGAAGCTGCTGTTCCCGCACATCAGTGGAGGTGTGTCTCACCTGCCCTTGTGTTCTCTGCGTGGCAGCAGCATCAAATGGTTGTGGAGGCAAACCATTGGTTTGATTGCTGTGACTGACATCGTCTGATTTGTATTAGTTTAGTGGAACCAAACCGCAAAACAAGCAGTGTTTTCTGGGCTTGTGCCTATCTACATTTTTACTTAAATGAATCAGACTCTTTCTCAGATTGTGCCAAAAGCAAAACTGAACTCTCCCACAGTAGTAATTCTGTGCCTAGGCCGTGGACTATGATACAGACCTTATTATTTAGATAGTCACAATTGAAAATTGGGTTCAAAATACTTGCATAAGTAAACTGATTTCAGATAGAGTGAGATCATGTGAAGTTCAAGTTCTCCTTGAGGACTAGAGAGGCCCAATATAAGCCAAGGTACTGTCTGTGTTAGGGATAGAAATTCCTGATATTTTAAACTGAGCCTCAGTAACACAACCTTATTTTACTTTTTCTTTTTTTTTTTTTAAGAGTTTTGTGTTATTTTTTGGGTGGGTTTTTCTTTTGTTGTTGTTTTTTATTTGGAGGTGTCTTTTTTGGTGTTTTGTTGGTGGTGTTTTTTGGGTTTTTTTTTTTTAGCTTTTGCACTTTAAAAAGGTTTGGATAAGCTTGATCCTGTGAACATAGCTTAGAAAGTTTATTCTCTTCCCCGACTAAAATTGTTTAATAGATTGGATTTTGGAAACGCAGCACAAGTTACTTCAATTTAAAAACAAAAAAAAAGAAAACTTTAACCCTGGGATAGTCTCCCAACATGCTTGTAATGTGAGGCCCTTGCTCTGCAAGCCCCACACCCCCCAGTGCCTTGGTGTAGCTGAACAGATCCCGTGTACAGTAGGACCCTTCATTCTGGATCAAGCCGTTCCTGGCCCTTGCTCTCTGGGACTGCAGCCTCAGGCACAAGGGCTTGCCGTGTCACTGGAGTATCCCAGCAGCTGCACACGCACACGACTGGCTGAAGGAGGAACTTGCCAAGTCATAGCTCTTGCATAATCAGAGCTGAGACCCAAGAAACTGTGGCTGTTGGAAAGAAGGGCACTTTAGAGCAGTTCAGTGCCTTCTGAGGTTTTCTTGACAAAGAACAAAGTGCAAATACAAAGGCAGAGTTCAAGTTCTTTTTTTTTTTTTAGCCTTTGTTCACAAATATCTTGGGAAACCTGTGTTCCCTACAGCAAACAAATCTCTCCAGTATTTATTTTTTCTGTAGAAATAAAGCTTGCCACAAGAAAATACTCTTGATGTGTAACCCTTGGATTTTTCAACCTGTTTCCTTCCTTCCTGGGGGACAAAGTTAATAAAGAAGCTTACAATATATTAATCTTAGTAGTTTCAGCACTATGATGTGTCATTGTAATCGTGTCCATTAACCCCTGATTTTCAGAAAAAGGTGGAGAAACAGGTAACTGGACTAGAACTCGTGAAATCTAAAAGTAAATGGTGCTCATCTATTTCTGTGGAATTTGGGGGAAGAATTTGGTCATATTTTAAATGGTTTTTTATACAATCATAATTATAGCCCATGCCCTTAATTGTCAAGATATTAACCTTTCTTTTTATCCTCACATAGATCTCTCTAGGAGCTGGGGCTTTAAGGAGAATACCATGTAGCATGAAACTAAGGATAACTGAGGTTATTTTCAAGACTTTTTGGAGAGATCCTCTAAGCTATGTTACTGCCTCACCTAGTTATGTTGTAAAAATGCAGGATACATGTATTGGTAGCTTTTAACTTAGATTGGATTTTTAATGCCTTTTGCAGTTCAAGATGTCTAAAAAAATCCATGGAGGCTCCGTTGTGGAGATGCAAGGAGATGAAATGACACGGGTCATCTGGGAGCTGATTAAAGAAAAGCTGATTTTTCCTTATGTAGATCTGGATTTGCACAGGTAATGACTCTGTGACATTGAGCTGAATGTACTGAAGTTTGCATGTGTCAGCAGGTGTTGATGGATTTTCATTTAGCACCGGAGGCATGCCCTCCAGGGTTCCTCACAGCAGTAAGCAGTGCATGCGGAGTTGTGAGTTAGAGTCTGTACTGTGCCTCTAAGAAAGTCTCTCAGAGATGTGGCCTGTATTTTCATCTCCTGTGCCTTGGGGTTTCCAGCACCTGGACAGTCTGCATGACTCCCTGCAGCCTAAACAGTGAGAAGAAATATGGGCTGTTTCAGCCACTCCTGACTTGAAGCGCAGCGTCCTGCACCCCTGAGTGAGCTTACGGCTTTTTGCCATGCCTGTTTGAAGATCTGCCCAGAGGACAAAAGGGTGTGTGTAGGGCACAGACTCTGCCCTGGTGGCTGTATGCCTGAGCTCTGCTGTTGACAATTTTAATGCCTTTTGCAGTTCAAGATGTCTAAAAAAATCCATGGAGGCTCCGTTGTGGAGATGCAAGGAGATGAAATGACACGGGTCATCTGGGAGCTGATTAAAGAAAAGCTGATTTTTCCTTATGTAGATCTGGATTTGCACAGGTAATGACTCTGTGACATTGAGCTGAATGTACTGAAGTTTGCATGTGTCAGCAGGTGTTGATGGATTTTCATTTAGCACCGGAGGCATGCCCTCCAGGGTTCCTCACAGCAGTAAGCAGTGCATGCAGAGTTGTGAGTTAGAGTCTTGCCTGTATTGTGCCTCTAAGAAAGTCTCTCAGAGATGTGGCCTGTATTTTCATCTCCTGTGCCTTGGGGTTTCCAGCACCTGGACAGTCTGCATGACTCCCTGCAGCCTAAACAGTGAGAAGAAATATGGGCTGTTTCAGCCACTCCTGACTTGAAGCGCAGCGTCCTGCACCCCTGAGTGAGCTTATGGCTTTTTGCCATGCCTGTTTGAAGATCTGCCCAGAGGACAAAAGGGTGTGTGTAGGGCACAGACTCTGCCCTGGTGGCTGTATGCCTGAGCTCTGCTGTTGACAATGTGAGCAAACTGTTGCAATTACTCCCTGAAGCTAGGCTGTGCTCCTGTACTCCCTTCTGGAAAAAAACAAATACTAGCAGCTGGGTACAGCAAAAGGGACGTGCTATCTATAGCATCTGGCCAAACAGAACAAATAATCTAGCCTTTTCTGGCTACTGAGCTATAATTATTAGAGAAGTATCCAGCTACATTGTTCCTAGCCATGTGGACAGAGGCCTTCGGTGATATCTGCCATAGTTAAACCCACAAGTCTGACCTCTTCCCCTGCCACTGGAGCCATTTGTATGCCACCTACATCAGGCTTTCTGCTTCTTGGTGTTGGGAACCAGGCAGACAGGAACCCAGCAGCATAATACATGCATGCAGTCTGGAGAACATCCCTTTTCAAAGAGGGTGGGAGGAGGGCAAGCAAACCCCTGGCTGAGGCAGCACAATGGCTAGATTCATGTACAGCTGGCTGTGCTTCAGGGCTGTCCCATGCTGGGCAATACATTGTTCTACAAAAGCTATTAAAACAGTGAGTATGGAAATGACCTTCCTATGATGTTTGAGAGGAATATTGGCAGTTTTGCTGCCAGAGCAGGCTTGTGGGTGGATTGTCAAAGCAGTTTTTAAGTCTAGTACCGCTTCATGTGCTCAGTACATGAAGGAAGCCAGAGCCTTCAGCACAAGAGGTAGCACACATTCATCTGGGGATTTTGCTGCTCCATACAGTAGAAACCCTCAACTGACAGGTGCCATTGCAGGAAGCTCAAAAGGCAAGGCAGAGGAGATACTGTCCTATGCTGGCAGCAAACCTTAGCCATAAGCTGAAGCTCTCCTTTCTCCCATCTCCTACCAACCGCCACTAACAGGAGAAATGTCACTGTATAAGTCTGTTTTCTTCCAGTCCAGCAGCATTTGCACTGGAAGAGGGATAACTTCAGTTGTGCCAAAATGCTGCCACTACACTCACAAGCACATATGGGGTCTTGTTTCTTTCCTGTTGAGCACAAACAAATGTCCTGGGAAGTCCTGACCATATTTGTGGGTTTGTTACAGCTATGACTTGGGCATTGAGCATCGTGATGCTACAAATGATAAAGTAACTGTGGAAGCTGCTGAAGCCATTAAGAAATACAACGTTGGCATAAAGTGTGCAACCATCACTCCTGATGAGAAGAGAGTGGAAGAGTTCAAGTTGAAACAGATGTGGAAGTCTCCCAATGGGACAATTAGAAACATCCTAGGTGGCACTGTCTTCAGAGAGGCTATTATCTGCAAGAACATTCCCCGGCTGGTGTCCGGATGGGTGAAACCCATTGTCATCGGCCGTCACGCTTATGGGGATCAAGTGAGTCACTTCAGTGTTTACCCCTCTTCTTGTCTTAACAGGCTTATTCCTGGCTGGTCTAGAGCTCCTAAGACTTAGACATCCCTGTGCTCCTGCTCTATCCCTTGCATTCCACCTGGGAGCATATTTGCTAGCACTTAATTTGTACTGCACCTGGCAAGTGTGGGAATGCCTGGTTCATGCCTCTCTTCCTTGAGCATTCAGAAACCTGTGCTTGGATTACACAGGCTTGTACTTAGACACTTAACTCTGCTAGGTTATTGTTCTTCACCTCTCTAGAACCCTCCTTCCTACATAAGAACACCTTTAGAAAATACTGTTTTACACTGCCCGCCTTCTTACTTTGCAGGACTTTCTAATTTTTTTCTTTTTTTTTTAACTGTGATCTGCTGCTTTAACTAACACAGCACATCTGCAGAGGTGGTATCTGACCTGGGCACATCAGGCTGTGGTACAGAAGTAGGGAAACCTCTTTTATCAAAACTCTCCTCACAATGGTAGTACAAGGCTGTGGAAAGCCCTGGAACTGTTCTCAGTGTTGTGCCCTCTGGGTAGCCTGGAAGATAAGAATCAGTCATACTGTTGTCCATGGGCAATCATGCTATAAAGTTTCCAAACACAGCAAAAGAAAAGTCTTCTAGAAGAGCCAAGTGCTTAAATAGGTGGCTAAACCTGTAAAATGAGGGCAAGTCATTAAATTACCTGCCATAGGAAGGTAAAATAATAAATTTTCTACAGGAAAGTAATTGCAGAACCCTGACATTAGAAAAGAATAGGATTCAACATCCTTAAAGGTTGTGAACAATTGAGATGGTTAAAATAACAATAGGAAACAGTGGATTAAAGGGAAAGGATTGAAATCCTGCAAAAGTGAGATTAAAGTGAAAGGAACAATATAAGAACATACAAAGGACATAGGAGCAAGACACTAACTTGAGAACATCTCAGGAAAGAGATTCACTTGATAGGAGGGAAACTACATGAAAAAGAATCACAAATTTCAAGGAAATGTAACCTTAAATAGTACTGTTCAGGAAAATTGGGAAGATGAGAGAGCATTTAAATACTTAAAGTTTTTAACTTCAAAGACTCTTACTACAGATTGGCCTTTCCAATGTCATCTTGTATGACATATGAACCCTGTTACTTACAAGATCAGCAGCTGCAATATGAATGGCTTTCTTGAGGCAGGGAGAGGGGCTTTTCTATCCACCAACCACAGAACAGTCTAAATACTCTGCACTTTATCTACTTTTGCAGATGTACTGAAGTTTTACTCTGCTGATTGATGGGGCCCAAGAATCTGTGAGCTTTTTCCCCTGAAGGGGAAGATGGCTTCTGAAACAGGCAGACTTTTGGCTATTTAAGGATACAGTTTAGTGGTGCTCTTGGCAGTGCTGGGTTAACTGTTGGACTTGATGATCTTAAGAGTCTTTTCCAACCTAAGTGATTTCATGACTCACGTCTTTCTAATCTCTAGTAAAATAATCCAATGACAATAATGCTGAATAAAAAGTCTACTTAGTCATGTTTTTAGTATAGCTGTTTTTCTGTAACCTGCCCTCTCAAAAGAGGACTGTCTTTTATGGCTCTCTCTTCCTGATAGATAAATTATCATGGCAATTTTTTTTTAACAGTACAGAGCAACTGATTTTGTGGTACCTGGGCCTGGAAAAGTAGAGATGACCTACACTCCTGCAGATGGAGGCAAACCAGTCACATATCTGGTCCATAACTTTGAAAGTAGGTATTTTCTCTAATTAGTGATTAAAACTGATATACTGATCTTTTTGGATTTAATTCAACCTTGAATTATCAGTCTGATCTGTTTGATGGTAAAATATGACTTTGAGGTAGAGTGGGGGAGAAAGTCTGGGCCTTCTTCATTTATTTGTCAAGTACTAAAAATACCTTGAAATCTTCCTGGGATCAAAGATGCACATCAAGAACACAATCATATTAGATTGGCCACCTGTCATGCTCCTTATTTGATGACTCTGGTAGCAGCATATATGTTTTTCTCTCTGATCAGAGGCAAACTTGCTATGTAAAATAGGTTGACCTAAGGGGATATATATTTGAGAACAATCCATGTGCAATTCTTTCGGGGTTTAGTTTGTTTTGCTGATCTCTATATCTTTGCAGTTCTTGCCCTTCTTTATGAAGCAGTCTTTTTATTTGCTCAATAGAAATGAGAATGAACACTTACTCTGTAAGGTGGAATTAAGATTTCACAAGAATGCTCCTGACTGTGTAGGCTGTAACTGTTTTAATAGATGCAGTCACAAATGTTTTAGTGTCACTCTTCTCCCTATTGCTCTGCTGGTTGCAGACATTGCAAGGCTCAAGAAGAGTCCTGACGTTGCTGGTCTTTGTTAATGGAAGCAGTTACAGACAGGTTGCCAGAAGTCAGGCTGTTTTCTCTAGGGGCAGGATTCAGGAAAACATCATACAAGTCATGTCTCTTGTCTATCATTGATCAAAGGGTTCAGGATTTAAAGTCTTATGGTGATCTATTTAGCTACAAAAAAATGAAACCCCATAAACCACAGCATCCTTGTTTGTGTGCAGTTGGTTTTGCAAACAGCTACCAAGGTTGACATAGACTCTCCTTTGTAATACTTGATTTCCCTGGCATGCTTGCTCGTAAGAACCTGCATCTGTACCATCTCTTGTTGCATAGCCTTTCATCTGGGGTTCACCTGCTTCACAGCCAGTCCCAATCTGTTTTCATTTGATGGATGACTGGTGAGTCTGTGTTGGAGATGCGTGGCTATCCAGCTGCCAGTCTGATTTGCTGCTCTGCATTGCATCAGCAAGGAGAAAGCAGGGAAATGCAAAGATGGCAGATTACTGCTGTTGCTCTCTGTGGGAAGCTGCCCTCCCCACAGATAACTGTTGTGCCAGCATATCTCTCAAATTATTAAGGGAAGCTTGTCTTTTAGCTGTACTAATATGTTCAGCCTTGACACAGAATCAAGAAATTTTTAGAAGGCAGTAGGATTGTATGACTGCAATAAGGATTTTCTTTTACATGTATGAAAATAGCTGTTTGAATAACACTTAATAGCTGTCATCCAGCAATGGTGAAATCATGGTTCCAGAGGACACAGTCTCTGTAGCTGATCACACCCTGAACTGTCCTTGACTCCATGGGGAAGAGGGAAGGTACAGGGATAACATGTAACAACAGGAAGTTAATTCTCTGCCAATATCAACTTTAAATGACATTGCTATCTTGGCAAGCACATAAACCTTCTCTGGCTTCCCCTCTTCATTCTGCATGTATGTCCATATAGTAACAACCATCTGAAGGTGGTAAGCACAAATGGATATTAGGAAAGGTATTTAAAAACTCTGGGTGTTTCTAGAACAACGATCCCTAATATTGGTACTGTACAAAAACTAGAAAGATGGTGGTAGTGAGGTGCTTAAAATTAAGTATATGGTATCTACTTTTCACTAGAAACAGAGTTGTGCTCTGAAAATGACAAAGCTTTCTCATGAAGGTCTAGACCCTATTTTCACCCACAATCATCCTCTTCTATGATCTGAGTGCTGCTTTCTTCTAGGTGAGCTGGGCTGCAAGTTAGTACACTTCCATTTGTGCTTCTAACACATCTGTCTTACACAATCTAAGTCATGTGAGTGTTGATAGGTCCTCAGAGCCTTCTCAGGACTTGCCTGAGCACCCACATGACTGGCACATTCTTCCCACAACTTGCTAGAAGTGAGCCTGAGCGGGTGGATCAAAGTGTCAGGGTAGGCCACATGTGCTGAAAAAAATGCAGGAATTCATGTGGAGTCTTGTTTACCTGAGCTAGGTAAAGCAGTCTTTGCCTGCTGGAGTTAGTTCTGAAGTTGCAAAGCATTTAAGGTGTGAGCACATCCCTTTCTGACTTTGAGACCTCCTGCTCCAAACTGCTGCCTTCTGCTTTGATAGAAAAAGATTGTATTACTTAAATGGCTAATGGGAGTTCAAGTACATTCACTTCTGTCACAGTGTGCTTGAGTACTTAGCCTGGATTAGAACAAAACTTCTTAGAGGGATTAGATCACATTATTAAGGTGTACTTGCCTGTAAAACAAAACCACCTTCCTCTCCATGTGTCGCAGAACTGCTGGAGCTTTGAGCTGATAATGCAAAGCAAATCTTCTCCTGAAAGAGCCAACCTTAAATTGAGAACTAGATTTAAGACACCTGGGGAGAGCACCAGTCTGCCTGCCAGCCAGAGTATGCTATGGGGAGAATAAAATTCTTAAACCAAAACTAAATCTAGTTGCTTCCTGTCTGTTCTTCCTCCACTAACAGGCTGTGGTGGTGTAGCCATGGGAATGTACAATCTTGACCAGTCTATCAAGGATTTTGCCCACAGTTCCTTCCAGATGGCTCTGTCGAAAGGCTGGCCGCTCTACATGAGCACCAAAAACACCATTCTGAAGAGATATGATGGCCGCTTCAAAGACATCTTCCAAGACATCTATGACAGGTAATCGGTTGTGTACTTCCTCCTGTAATGCATAAGTCTGCAGCAGGAACTTCCTCTCCAGCCTTGTGAGTTGCTTTTTCAGACACTCAGCAACACTTTAAGGGCACAGGGGATGCCATCTCTGTCACAGTCTCCCTTATCCTGCAAGGCACAATACTCAATGCAGAAAGATCTGCTAAATGTGGCTGTGGTGTCCATATCTTATAATAAAGCCACAGATTCTCTGTGTGTGCTTCTATGACTCTGAAGCAGCCTTGCTATAGCCTAGCAAAACAGAAAAGGGGAAAAAAGAATAAAGAGAATGCAGGGTTTTTTGGTTTTAATCTTACCTTTATGCACCTCTCTATGTACAAACTATGCAATTCCCTGTTCATATGACAAGGTGTTTTGGTTTTTGTTTTCTAGAGAATACAAGTCCCAGTTTGAAGCCAAAAAGATCTGGTACGAGCACAGGCTCATTGATGACATGGTTGCTCAGGCCCTGAAATCTGAAGGAGGCTTTGTCTGGGCCTGCAAGAACTATGATGGGGATGTGCAGTCTGACTCTGTTGCACAAGGTATGAGGTGCTTCCTGTGCCACAGTGAAGCAGGCTTAGTGGTAGACTCTTGTGTCCTTCTGTCACATCTTATGGAATGGCCCAGGATGTGGTGTTGAGTCTCAAAACTTGTATTTCAAACCTGTTGCCAGTTATAGAGGTATCAGGCAGTCAAAAAAATTCTGCTTTTGCTTTTACAAGCAAATCTGTTGAATGTAGACTCTGTAGTTGTATTTATTTACAGGAGGGAAGTTTCTACCACGTGATTACTGGTAGGCTTTCTATTCTAATGGACAGTTTTTAGACAGCTGGTTCTGTGTCACTGACAGCTTGAGTCAAGCTGACTGCTGCTGAGTGTGATGGCAGGTGCTCTGCAGATAATCCATAAAACTTTCAGGACCTAAAGCTACCTGTCAGGTGTAAAGAGAGAGATTGATGTGTTTAACTTTATGTAATTGCAATGCTTGATCAAAATCCTATATAACCAAGGTACCTGGTGCCAAAACAAATATGGATGCAGAATTCCACAGGACGAGACGTGTGGCTTTATGTAATACACTCTTTCTGAAGTAATGCCACTAAACTGCCTCCCACAGAACAAGGATGTATGTTGGACTGCTAAACAAAGCAGCTTTCAAACATGGAGATCTCTGAAACCTACAGGGTTAGAACTTGTGTGAATGTCCAGTATCAGAAGTTGCTGGTTCCTCTCACAAGAGCAGATGCTCTTAATAAGAAGTTGTTTTGTTTCCTGTCACCCTGTGTGAAAGACAAGCAATCCAACACTTACTCTTCTCTTACTGTACATTTTCAGTAGAAATCTGTCCAGCAAATTAGGTAAGAAAACTAATTTCCTTGAAATGGTGCAGAATATCTGTATCTCATGGTTCAGCTGGACTTATGTTCAGATGTACTGTTATTTTGTTGTGTAGGGACTTGCTAGTTAATTGCAGAAGCACTACTGCAGCTCTGCTGTTCAGGGATTTTCATATCAATGGGAAGATGTAGGGGGATTGTAGGATGGGGAGGTGAAGGGGAATTTGAGGGAGCTGTCCAAAGGAGACACTGAACTTTTGAAACTGTATTTTGTAGGCTATGGCTCTCTGGGGATGATGACCAGCGTGCTGATCTGCCCTGATGGCAAGACTGTTGAAGCAGAAGCTGCTCACGGGACAGTCACTCGTCACTACCGCATGCACCAAAAAGGCCAAGAAACCTCCACTAACCCCATTGGTGAGCTGCTTTTCACTGCCCTTCATCATCTCTAGACATGAAAGAACAAGTTTAGAGTAAGAACATCTGCACCCTTTCTGTAGACAACTGTACCACTTAGTGGTGAAACTTGCAGGTCATAATGCATTTTTCTTCCAGAGATTGTGAGGACCCTTAAGGGGAAGGAAGTACCTAAGATTTTTAAATGCTCATCGATCAAAAGAAATTACAAAAGTCAGAGGGTCTGCAAACAGTCAGGAAGTAGATCAGTAAATTACACACATGGCGTGGAAACACCTACTATATAAGCGCACAGAAGTGGGTTTTGGATAAAGGGGCAGGGTGAAAGTGAAGAGGGGAATTAAAGAGGGAAAGATGAATTAAAGAAAGTAAGAAAGGAAAAGAGAAATAGAAAAAAAAAAAGAGGGAATTAAAGGAAGAAAAAGAGGAGAAAAGAGAGAAAAATAGATCACTAGTCCTGGTTACAGCCTTGATCCAGCTGAGGGGATACCAATTCTGGTTTCAGTGCTGATCCAGCTGATAAGTGGCAATCCAGCTGCATTGGACAAGTGGCACCCTGGCTGCTGAGATGTCTAGGGCCCTGGGTGCACCACCTGGGCTTGGGAGGGCCGGGGTTGGTGGGGGGAGAGTGGTGTACCTTTTTATGGACAGGTTTCTTGCTTTTTATGTACTTTAGTCATCAAGTGCCGTCCATTCTTTCAGGCCTGTCTGGAAAGGGGTCAGAGGACTTTGGGGGTCTTTGGTCTCAGTCCCACTCCATGTCTACTTCCTGCTATTCATTCTTGTGCTTGCACTGTACTATGTTGTGGTTCTTTCTCATGGAAAAGTGCTGTCCTGTTTCCACCTGGCCCCTCTTTTCCAATCAAATCTTGTTCTTTTTCATGGCATGTCAGTACCAAAAGTCCATGGTTGGCTCTACAGCTGTCCAGTTATCAGTTTGAGACATAATTAGCTCCTTCTCTTGAGGTGGGCTCAGTTGGTCAGAGCATGGTGCTAACAACACCAAGGGTGTGGGTTCAATCCTTGTATGGACCATTCATGTAAGAGTTGGATTCAATGATCCTTCTGTGTCCCTTGCAACTCAGACTAGACTGCGATTCCACGTGTATCTTCTGGAAATCATGACCTCCAAAAGATGTCACTTTGGGCTGCTGTTTAAAGGGTTGTTAGAGAGTAGGGTATAGTATGCATTAGCTCCTTATAATTGAGAGCTTGAGGGGTCTCACTTTGGGTCACTGTTTATGGGGTCACAAGAGAGTGGGCTTTAGTTATAGTAACTTTCCGTCCTGGCTGCAATTCAAGTTAGTAACTTTCTTTGAAGTACAGTAACAAAAATATTATTCAACTTGGGCTGTTATTCAGACAAGAAAAATATCTTTCCAAGGCTATTTATTAAAAAAAGTCCTCATTAAACACCACTAGTTCCTGGGTTTCCGATAAGCTTGAGAAGGGCTTAGGTGTGGTTTGCCAAGGCCAAATGAGCATTTTTCAAATCACAGTGTGGCCTGAGGGAGTCAAGGGAGTGCACCCCCACAGACTTCTTGTGACTTAAGCCAGCTTCTCTGGGTCCTACAGACACAGCTACAGTCTGAAGCAAAAAACAGGCTTGAATGGAGTGCGTGCGAGCAATAAGCTAGACCTAACTTAGCCTTTATGCGCTCACTCTTCAGGAAACAACTGGTTTATAGCCACAAGACCTTAAGGTTTTGATTAGTTGTTTTTTATTTTACTTCTCTTTCTGATGGCCCAGAAGAACCAACCACACCCCAAGCCATGTACACACTCAAAGTGTAAGGATACCTGGAATGGGACGTGAGGAAAGAATCCTCTAAATTTGAATAGAGACCAGAGCATAATGTAGAGTTAGGAAAAGGACTGCACCCTTCTGTTACAATATTCTCTGTAACTACCAAGTCCTACCACCTGTCATTCTTTCTGACTTGGGCAGGAAGAAAATAAAATGGCATGCATAGAGAGATTACTGGAGGCAATGAGTAGTTTCTGAGGTCTGCTTTGGTTTTTTTGGTTTTTTTTTGAGTTCCACAAAAGGCAAAGGGTACCTAGATGAAGATAAGTGTTCTTTCCTATACCAGATATTCTATCTTTTTTTTTTTCAGTCTGCTTTCCATTTTATTGGTATTAAAGAATCCAATTCTTGTTCCACATGATGATTTAGAACAACTTTCAGGAAGTTCTACATAGATAGAATAACCCAGTGTTCTCTCTCAGCCTCCATCTTTGCATGGACAAGAGGCCTCGCTCACAGAGCTAAGCTGGACAACAACACTAGCCTCAGGAACTTTGCAGTTGCCCTGGAAGAAGTCTGCATTGAGACCATTGAATCTGGCTTCATGACAAAGGACCTTGCTGCCTGCATCAAAGGCCTGCCGAAGTAAGTGTATGAAATAACCAGCTATGCCTAGAGAAGGCTGTTTTACCTGGTGGTTCTGAACAGCGCTGGCTGGAATGTTATTTTTAGTATGCTAAAGAACAGGAGTGTGTCTCACAGGACTTCCTGTACCCTGTGCTGTAAAAGGAGCATGAGAGACTCCCTGACCCAAGTAGCTCTCTCCCTGCTATTGCACCATGAATGGGAGAAAAAAGTAAAGAAGGAACTGCAAAGATATACATGTTTTTTATGACAGTCTAGCTATGGTGGCCAGATCCTAACAAATGAAGAAGACCTACAGAACTGTAAAATATCACCTGGCTACCTCTTCCCAGAGCCTTATGGCAAAGAAACCCAGCCTGATGAGTAGGAGAGAACTCTTTTGGTTTTAGAGGCAAAGCATAGAATTCTTTGAACAGTCATCTTCTGCTTTGATTATTTGAGAGTCTGTACAACTAATACCTGTCTTGTTTTGTTTCCCCCACCCAGTGTCACACGCTCTGATTACCTGAACACCTTTGAGTTCATGGACAAGCTTGCTGAAAACTTGAAGCGGAAGCTGGCCTCTATGCCCAAAGCTTAAGGCATGGGTTACACTCAAGCTCCCCTAACAAAGTGTCTCCCACTTACATCAGAGTGTAAGTGGCATTGTCTCATTTGTTCTGCTTCTTTTAGGCTGTTCTTCAGCTTTGGCCATCTGGTATTATCACACTGGCAGATACTTCCTATCAGAATAATCTCTTTGCCCAATTACTAGTTTTTCTCTTGATTTTTTCTATCTGATCACACTTGGCTCCTCTTGCAAAGCACAGGCACTGGAGGTCTCTTTCCTCAAGAAAAGTGAATTCTGTAGACTGGAATCACCTGAGGGAATTTCTTGACTTGAGAAGGTATGAACTGGGGGTTTTAGCAAGCTCTCCATACTTTGCATCTCAAAGATAGGTCCCTTCTTAACCTGCTGCATTAAGTCAACACTATCATGACTATGCAGTTGTGCTGGATTCACCTCATATGTACTTCAAGATCTTGGACTTCATCAGGAGAGTGGGAATGGTGCTCCACACCAGTCTCTATTCCATCAAAAGCCCCCTCACATGCCTTCTTTCTGCCCCATCTCACAGACTTCAGTCTCACTAGAATGTGTTACAACTTCTGGCTGAAGAAGCTTCTGTGTATTTTGAGCACACTATTGGGACTATTTTCTGCATTGTTTTTAATTGCAGTTGTTTTGTTTTTTCTTGTTCTTGCTTTCTTAGCAGTTGTTCTTTCTTCAGTTTTAGTTTAATAGGCTTGCTCCAGGTACATTCACCCATGATTGCTCAATGTTGCTGAATTTTTACAGTCTCACTCCCTCCAGATGTGAAACTATACTAATATGTAGATGATAGTCTAATTGAAGGAGATTCCCATGAAAAGGTGTGAGAAGCAGCAGCAATAATAGGAAGCATTACACGAAGCAGAAATTGAAATTCAGCCTGAAAAATGTCAAGGACCAAGAAATAAATTTTTAGGCACTTGGTAGATGCAGCCAATGCAGTAGTTCCTTCAGACACATTAAAGGAATTAGAACAAATGCAAGTGCCCCATCAAAGAAAAAATTACAAGAGTTAATGGGAACTTTAGGATATTGGAGAAAACATGTACCTGGCTTTTCTGTTATTGCTTGCATAAGTGGGTCCGTATTGTGCTTTGTTGTGTAACATTACAAACACTAGATAAAAATGAACATAGACACTTTTTACACTTTTAGAAAATCATGTTTTCTGAAACACTTCGAGCTGCTAGGCTAAGCCCTACTTTTGCCAAGCAGATGAATTTGATAAAAGCTCAGTATGGGTCTGGATTCCTAGTTTTGTTCACAGCAGACCTGAAGTTTTTCTCTGTGACTTTGATGTATGTTTATCTCTTCCTCTCAGTCTGAAGGCCAGTTTGTGTCACAGCTGCGGTCAAACCATCAGTGACCTACTGTCCAGCAGACCTTAGAAATGAATACCGTCCTCCTCTCTTGAGTACTTCCCAGTGAGTATAAGTGAGTTCAGAGGGCTATGCCAGCTCTTCCGCAGCCCTCCTGAATTTATCTTGTAGTGCCAACCAGAGCACAATGTCCTGATACCAAGGGATTTGGTTCCATTGCTACAGTCAGGACTGTAGCATTTGAGTAGCACTTAGTAAATGCTGGAAACAAGCCTTATAGGCTAAGAGCCTACCAAAGCCATGCTGCAGTGTCTAAATGCAGGCCATGCATTTAGTTATGCTCCTTCTGACTGGATGTGAAGCATAGGAACTGTTAACCTCTTCCCTCACCCTCCAATTCATAAAGGTGCAAACTTTTCTCCAATTGTCTGGGCTATTACTTACCCTTGTTGTCTTACGGCAAGTCATATCATGACTGTGAAAACTTATTCCATCCATGGTTGTGTGTTGGGTTTTTTTTTTAAGGAATATTTTTAATTCAAACTAAAATAAAAGCCAACTAACATTCTTTGTGTCTCCTTCCTTTGTGTGATTAGCAGATATGGGGAACCTGCCTCAGAGAGAGACTCCAGTAGCTTCAGTCCAGTACAGGCTGGGACAGACAGTTGGAATGTCATATAAGCAAAAAGTATCTCCCTTCTTGGAACAGAGTTTCAATTTGTTCTAGCCTAGGCAAAGCTGTCATGTGTGGTGTCATGGTAAGCATCAGGTAGTACACAAGAATTTGAAAATACCACTTGCAGTGAAATTTTATTTGGGGAGTAATACAAACTGATACATCATTGCTCAGCAAAACAGAAACTGTTACACATGAACAAACTCTCCCCCCTCCAGCTGACTGCTAGAGGTGGTGATTAGGACACCGATGCCAATGTTAGACCAAAGGAGCTACTATTACCCTGTGTTGGAAGCACAGCTCTGTAACTGCCAGCAGCTGTCTCCGTACCTTGAATGTCAATGAATACAATCTACTATTTTGTTATTAGCACAAGCACATCAGTGCAGCTGGAAAATGTCCCATTTCTGACTCATAGAGGCAATGAAAACAATTACTGGGAACACTTGGAGATCTAAGTTCCTGGCCTGGCCTCTGACATCAGTGGGTCAACAGAGGCAGGTTCTAATACAACAGCATTTATACCAAGTGTTATAAGTGTTATTTTCTAGTTCCTACCTGGCTTCCAGAGTTACAAAATACCAGAGAAAGTTTGGTAACTTCCAGAAAACTGAACAAATAAATAAGAGGGCATTTTTGAATATCAGGCTTTTTGTTTCCTAGTTTTAATAACTTAACAGTACAGCTTAAATGTAAGCTATGTAGTAGCATTTCCCTGATTGCCGATGACACCATTTTCCCTCTAAAAATGAAGTTTCCAACTTCTGGAGTCCTCTGAATACAGAGAGTACAGCAAGACCCAGCCTATCCTCATGAACTGATGGATGCTGCTGAGGTGCTAAGGAGAAGGAGTAAGTATGGTAAGAAGAAAATAGCAGCCCTCTCCTTGCTTTGCCACAAAGAGGAAATGCTTTTCCTGCTTCCAAATGGGCACTTTTCCTTCCCTTTTACTACTGCTGTGATCTCTTCTTTTCCCCACCACTCTCTCAACCATTTAGAATCAATAACCTTCAAAGTTACACCAGCAGACCCTAAAAAAAGCAAGTGCTTGAAGCCAGTGGGTGCTGCAATGGAAGAGTAAAGGATTTCCTGAAACACAGCTGGCCCCATCTGGAGTACTGTTGTCCAGATCTGTGATTCCCAGCTTAAGAGGGATATGGACCTGTTGGAGCAAAGCCAGAGGGGGAAACACAAAGATGATCAGAGGGCTAAAATACCTCTCCTATGAAGACAGTCTGAGAGAGTTGAGATTGTTCAGTCTGGAAAACAGAAGGTGCTAGGGAGACCTTATCAAACTATCCAGTACCTCAAGGGGCTACAAGAAGGCTGAAGGAAGTACTTTTTCAACAGGGGCAAGGAGTGATAGGAAAAGGGGAAATGTTTTAAAACAGCTCTGTCCCACAGGACCTGCTCCTCTGATCACCTTTCCTGTAACAATACTCAGTATGAGACAAGACATGTTTAGATCTGGTCCTAAGCACCTGGTGTTTCAAACATTCCTTAATGTTGGTTGGTACAGAGTTCATCTGCTGCTGCAGGGAGCTTTACATGGCAGACAGGGAGAGAACAGGAAGAAAGCAGAAGATAGCTAGGAGCTAATCATACAGCACATAAGGGCCATGCCCATCAGTAAAGCAGGCATCCATCAATTTGTGTCAACCACTTTCCCCACCCCATAAGTCTCAAAGATTTGAAAACAGAAGAAATGCACAGCACAAGGCTCCATTTGTCAAATTGGTCCTTGGGTTGCCTTAGTTGGAATAGTTCAGCTGCCTGGTCAGCCACCTGTGTCTTTGCTTGGGCCTCTGCATCTCTGCATTCAAAGCGGTAGCCTTGCGGCTAAACACACGAGCTTCTAGGAGCTTGGGGGCTGCTTTCAACCACGATTCTAATCCCTTCTGTTGTTATCAGCTTGCCTGCCTTGGCACTGAGACATCCTTCAGGAAGCCATTCTTTGTTCTCTTTCATCTTCTTGGTCATTCCCTGGGCTTTGACAGGCTTACTTTTTTTTTGTGGAGAGGAGTGGAGGAACTCAGTGTCTGTAAATGGGTCACCCTGCCTCAGTTTCCTGCAGAAACAAAAGGGTTACATTGAACCATCAAGTATTCCTTCAATTAATGTATGCTTTTAAAGTTTCTAATTTTAGTGCAGTTCTTCCCCATAAGATGATTAAGTGGTACAGTTTGTTTCTTGTCCAATACAGAGTACTGGTGCAATATAACCAGCTATTTACAGAAAGTTCAAACTGGGACACTTTCCAGGGAAAAACACACCCAGTAATGTTATATAACTACGAAGCCATCATTTTAGTGGTACATGACTGTGCAATAGCCATTGGATGTACTGAATCTACAGTTTCCTAGGGAAAAGATGCAGCTGTTTGTTTAGGTATATCTGCTAGCGAATATAGATACAGGATGCTCTCAGGAGAAAAGTATTACTCAGGTGTCTAAAATTTTAGTTGTCACAGAATAAATGAATTTAGGGCTTTTGCTGGGCTGTCTTTAGTCTGTATTTTATCCTTGTGCTACTGCCTCATTAGCACTGGAGTACCACAGATGCAGGCTGCCAATAGATGTGCTCATTTCAACAAATAAAATAAGATCTTTGGTAGCTTGTTGCCAGAAGCCTAAAGATCCATTTGTACTTATGCAGAATTTTGGCATAACCACACAGTAGTAGAAGAGGAGGGTCACAGAACACAAAGGGTAAGAACTTGGAACAGAGCAACAGAGGGTCCAGCCCTGGAGAGTTAGTACATGAGAGCAGAGCAGGGGTTGCAGCATGGGAACAGCCTTTGGAATGAATAGTTTAAAGCCCAACCTATTGATTGATGGCTCTTTGTAGCAGGTGGGCTTCCGTGTCCGCCTAGATGAGCGCCCTGATGCATCTTCTGAGCTGGAGTGAGACAGAACCCTGGCATTGTTCAAGTCCTGTAGTGGCCTGATACCTGCAAAGGGAGACATTCACATGGTTTAATCATAGTGATTCTAAATCATTTCCAGATATCCTAAGAAATAACAGGTGACAAAGAGAAAAAGTTGCATTACCAGGTTTCTCTGAACATGCACAATCCGGAATCTAATCATATTGCCCCTAAACTCAGGAGACCCTTTTAATCCAAAAATACCACACCTGCTCCTCAAAAGTCAGCTCATAAATCAAATTAGGTCCCTCAATAAAAAAATCACTAATATTGATAGGATCATGGGCTCTGGTGTAGTAGAAAAATTATACAGAAACTCTATTTTGATAGCTGTAATGTTCAGGAGCTTACAGCCTGGAGAAGACAGCAACCTTATAGCACACAAACAACCTACCAGCAACCTACTGACTTCCAGCAAGACAGAGGACCAGTGGTCACTGCACCTTTCCAAGTGGAGTCAGCCAAAAGGAGGACAGGAGAACAAACTTCCTCCCTCTCTGCAAAGTACAGCCCACTCCAGTTGTAACAGGTCTGTTTGTAAACAGCTACAAAAAGAAAAACCCCGCAAGCACAGAGCACCCATTAACAGCAAACTCCCCAAAAGGATCAGCTTAACTATTGTAGTACTGGCCCAAGAATGCACCCTCCAAATCCTTTTAAAAAACAAACAAAAAAAAACCCACAACCAAAATAATTTAGGTTGGGTCCTGGTTAATTTCCAGTGAAGATATCACCTTAGAAGCATGAAGTCTTGCAGCACTAACCATTCTGGACCGAAAGTTTTCCACCTTCTTCTTGTTTTGTGTCCTAGTAATACTGACTGACTCTAATAGGCAGGGTCAGCATCAAGTTAGATTTTGAAGTGCTTGAATACTTGATTTTCTAAATTAATTGGCATGCCCTGTAGATAACAAGAGTGGTAAAGCAACACTCAGCACATGCTGCTAGTCTTGTCCCAACATCTACACATGGACAGGTGGACAGAAATTCTTATAGAAATGCTGATAAGCTAGAAGCAAATGCAGCCACAGAAATGACAGGCCAGCATAAGTGGAAGCATAAATGGTGTAGTGGAGACTGATTTTTTAACTCTGAAAAAAGAGAGGAGAGGAAGGAAAATATAAGTACTTGCTGCATGGAGTTTTTGCCCTCATCTCCAAACACAGGTACCTTCCCCAGCTTACCACCTACCAGGTTCCTGTGAAGGTGAGCTCCAAGAACTTGACTGGACTTGGTTCCTTTCCCCAGGTATTTCCTCTGCAGTCTCTTCTTTAAATATCAGAGACTTTTTCAACCAAACAGGGGGTTTTGCTGGCATTCTGTTGCCCTCAGTACTTAAGCTCTTGGAAGCTGGTACTTCTCTAAGTCTGGAGCTGACAGACAAAACTGCAGAACTGCTCACACGGGAGGATTCAATACTGTGTGAAAGGTCTGTCAGACTATCTGCAAGTGATATCTCAGGTAGCTGCTCCTCCAGGAAATCACCTGACTCAGACAGCAGATGGCTAATGCAGGAAAACTTCCCCATCAGAAGAGTCTGCTTGGATGCAAGTTCTGTGGAACTTCCAGTGAGAACCTTGGTACCATCACTTTTTCTGACCAGGGAATCAGTCTCTGGAGGTCGAGAGTTGCTCCTTTTCCTCTGAGGCCTGGGTTTGCAAGAGGCTTCTTTTGTCAAAGCATTCATGTTGTGGTCAACTTCACCTTGCCCTTTTTCTTGAAGGCCCCCTGTCTGTTTTTTATTGCTCTTTTGATTGCTCTTAACAGCTCTGGGGATTTTGCTCACTTTACTCCCAGGAACAGACTTGGGAGGTACATTTTCACCCCCTTCAGATTCTGTCTGGAAACAACCCAAGTTTCCTGCAAGATCCAAAGGATGGACAATATATGTTTCCCTGCGCTGTTTTAGAATACCTGGGAAATGCTTTGTGCTCTCATTAGCTACTCCTTGAACATCTATGCAGGGCCTAAAAACATTAACTTCATTTCTCTGATCACAATTGCTATTCCTGTCAGTATTCTTCCTGCTTGTTTGGCTTCTTTTAGGGCGTTCTTCAGCTTTGGGCTCTGGTATTATCACAGTGTTTGGCAGATAATCCTCATCAGAATCATCTCTTTGCCCAATTATTCTAGTTTTTCTGTTGGCTTTCTGTCGGATGCTCTTTCTGCTCACACTTGAGAATTTTGTAGAATTCTGTAGACTGGAATCACCTGAGGGAATTTCTTGACTTGAGAAGGTATGAACTGGGGGTTTTAGCAAGCTCTCCATACTTTGCATCTCAAAGATAGGTCCCTTCTTAACCTGCTGCATTAAGTCAACACTTTCAAGACTCTGCAGCTGTGCTGGGTTCACCTCACATGTACTTCCAAAGTCTTGGACTCCATCAGGAGAGTGGGAATGGCGCTCCACACCACAATCTCTTTTCCTCTTGTCAAAAGCCCCCTCACATGCCTTCTGCCCCATCTCACAGACTTCAATCTCACTAGAACATGTTGCAACATTTGGCTGAAGAAGCTTCTGTGCATTTTGAGCACACTCTTCACCTTGAGATCTGTCGGGACTACTTGCTGTATTGGTTTTAATTGCAGTTGTTTTCTTTTTTCCTGTTCTTGCTTTTTTAACAGTCTTTTTCTCTCTGATTTTACACTTACCTTTGCTTTTAACGTTTTCAGGAACAAACTCAGGGACCTGGCTATAGCTAGGGTCCCTTTCAACACCACACTCCATTTCTTTTGTCTGTGGCTGCTCACAAAAGGTCTCTTTACCCACAGAGTTTCTATGAGAAACAACAGCAGCTTGAGCTGGTGAAGCCAGGGGGCTGGGAGATCGCAACTGTTGCTGTGTGTCTTTCTTGCTGGAGCTGCTGTTGTCCTGTGCAGTACTACCCCAAGCTGCCTGAGTGGAACTGACATGTGGGAAGATATCCAGAGCAGAAGATGGAGTGCTTGTAGCAAACAGGGTGGAACGCTTTCTCCTCTGAGTAACGTGCCCCTGTGAGAGACGATCAAATAAATGTTTTGCCATCTCATCGGGCTCATATGAAAGAGTATGACTTTCCAAGGCAAGCGTTGGCAAATTGTTGGGATTTTGTTCAGTGCTGCACAAGACATCTGTTGGAAAGAAAAAATTCATGTTTAAGGCTGAGAAACGCAGCAGGCAAATACCATCTTTGTCCATACACTGCCACAGATCCAGAGCATAGAAAAAGCATTATTTTGAGACAGGGACTCCCCCAACTTACTGTGTACCAGATTGCTTAGCTGGCTTCTCTCTGAATAAAAGGGCAGCCCAAATCAAGATCCCCTAACTAGCTGTAATATTAGGAACACTTATTATCTGTATAAGAGTTATCATTTAAATAGCAAATCCACAAGAAACTGTGGTGCACCTAGTCAGATTCTGCACTTTCAGACATCTTCAAAAGTCTTATGTACGCTCAGTGCCTATTACTCAAAAATCCTGATTTGTGAGTTTGATCTATTGCAAACACACCACATATCCCTCTGAAGGACTCTGATTCTGGGATATACATAACTCCAGCAATAACAGCCCCAATGGAGCATGTAGTTAATACCAGTCATTAGGAGCTACTGGAGTTGTGGTTGAGAGCTAATTAGAGTTATGGCCTTTAAGCATTTCTGAGCACAGACACAAAGTCATACCAGAAGAACAGCAAGAGATGCAAATTTACCTCCAAATATGTGACAGTCATGAAAAGCCTCCTCTGTTGCCATTGCTTCAGTCACCTTTTTGCCATTCTCTTCCTGGTGGAACTGAGGGTCCTCATCATGCTGTGGTGGCAAAGTATTTTGGGGGGCAACAGGCACAATTTTCAAGGTCTCATTAGAAGCAGGTCTCTGAAGTTCTCCTGCATTAGAAGCAGGTCTCTGAAGTTCTCCTGAGGTTGTTTGTAGTGCTGTGGAGCTGCCAGCTTGCTGCTCTGCATCATGCAGCTTGGAAATGGGCACTCTCATCGGTATCTGTGTAACCCTGGTGAGAAGGAAGAGTGGCGATGGATCATGTTTCTCATATATGACAGGCCCCAGAATCCAGCAGACTAACTACAGGCCACGTGTGGGCAGCTCCAAGGACTGCCCTGTCTTCAAAGAGAGAGAAGAAATAGAACTTCAAATATACTTTAAGAGATCATGTTCTGACCATCTTTCCAGAAAGTTTACATCATACAAGCAGATGACTATAAAGCATTTTTATGTAACAAACATCATAGCCAGCTATGGCACTCACTTGCTCGAGCAAATCTTGCTGTACTCAGCAGCTAAAAAGAGAAAACTGCCTAAAAGTAACACAGTCTCAAAGAAAGGAGGTAAAAAGACTAGTTTTTGCACAGACTCAGCATTAGAACAAACAAGACAAGGAGTGGCAATAAAAAGACAGAATAAAGGAAAGCATCAAGCAGTGATTGTTCAGAGAAGCTATCTCATATGAAACTGGCAACTAGGCACACACATAAAACACAAAAAGTTTAGCGTATAGAAATTCAGGACAAGCTTGGTGGTATCATTTTAAAGCCCACCTCAGAAGCTGACCATCTGCAATATCATCAGCCCAGCTATCTTCAGTCATGATGCTCTTCTGGCCACTGCACAAGGATGCAGAATTTATATGGAACTGGAAAGAAGAGAAATAGGAGAGTGATTTAAAGTTCTTGAAATCTCTCATGCGGCCTCCTGCACAGAAACAGCAGAAGGTCAGTTTCTTTAAAAAGTATGTAAAGTATTGCCAGCAACCCTCTCACGTTACAGAATAAATTATGGAATAAATTGCAGCAGAATCAGATTGTGTCTCCACAGCCTAAGGATGAAGTTAAATTAGTTCAGATAATCTGAGACTAGGAAGCAGAAGTATTTTCCCCTCCACCCATGAGACAGGACACAGGGAAAGTGTCCTATTCCCTATGCCAAGCTGCCATGGTAATAATTTAAAAAAGAAATTGAAAAGAAGTCACAACCTCTCAGAACAGAAAAGCATATAGCAAATAATCCAGAGGAAAACAGTTTAAAATGGTAGTTTTTCCTACACAAAGAGTTACCCTGGAAATCCTTAACGCCAAACTGGCCAGGATGTAGCCAGCACAACTCAAGCAAGCAAAGAAAAACAGGTGAAGCATCCAACACTGAAGTGAGCAGGCAACACAAAGCAAAAGACAGAAAAAGACAGCCCCCTTCCCAGAGCAGTGTGGTCAGGTTTATCATGGCTTACCTCAGACAGCTCGGCCATCTTAACTGCAGCCATAAGATTGTCCATTTTTTTCAACATATCATTCTGTGTTGAAGTAATAAAGAGAGAGAAGCCATAAAGACATTACATCAAAACATCCATTCCAACAAGGATGCTGCAAGCCAGAGGCATGTTCTGGGGAGAACACAGCTTGGAAAAAAAATAAGCAAATGAATGGGGATCTTTTAGATATGTTGAGAATCCAGACATTCAAGAGCAACAGCTCAATCCTCCCACAGCTGAGATGCTAGTGCAGCCCACCTTGCCTACCACCCCTCCCCATGCCAGCCACACAGTGAGTGCCATACCAGGAAGGAGAGCCTGTGCCGCAGCACAGCGTTCTGGAAGTGGCACTGCTTCACCTCCTTCTGTAAGATGGTCTTCTCCTGCGTGAGCCGCTGTGCATTGGCTTTCTCTGCATTGAGGGCCAGAGCCAATGCTTTATTGTTCTGCTTTAGGGAGACTTTCATAATGGAGGAGTTGTCTGTGAGAGACAGAGCAGTATCACACACCATCAGCATCCAAGGTCTCACCCATACTTCTCCCGCCATCATAATTCTCTCTCTTCCTAGACCAGCCGTCCTCAGATTCAGATCTCTACAACTCAATAGCCCCCTCACAAAATTAGCAGTATCCTTCCATAATAACATGCAAACTTCAGATACCCTCTCCATCCTCAGTGGGTCACACTTAGAGAGCAAGCTACTTATTCAATTTTTAATGAATGATGGTGTAATTGAAATGCTGAGTTTATAATTATAAGCTCCTTGCTTTGAATAAGTCACCAGCAGATAAGTCCTCATTGCCATTCAAAAAATGGGAGAAAAAACTGTTTTCTTCTATAGTTGCCCTTGAGTAAATTTGGACCCCTGTTTCCCAATTTCAAAACAATTAAATGAAAGTAATGGAAATATCAGAGTTTTTAAAGGTAGTCCAAATTATCTCCTGTTCTCTGCGTTACTTCCCCCATAAAAACAAAGCTAGCCTAGATTCCGCAGAGGACTGTATATACATTAAAATACTTCATACACCTTTGGGCACCTTGTGTGGCACTTGAGACTCATCTGCAGGGCACTGAATTCGCTCAAAAGCCCCGGGCAGAGAAGCAGCTGAGAAGCAGCACATGAGCTCTGGTAAGGGACTGCTGCCCACTCCCGATGCCGCGGCCAAAGGCCCAGCTGTAAGCTGACACAGCAGCCAGCATACGTCCACACCGCAACGCAAAATATACTCACTGATGATCTTCGTTTTGATTTTCGATGCAAGCGAGGCATTCAGCTTCGCAGTCCTCAAGGCACCCTTTTTCTTCTCCCGCATCCGCTCCCTCACGTCGCTCAGACTGAAGAAGGACATTTCGGCGGCCTCCCACGCTGCCATCGCTGAAGAGAGCGACACCGAGCAGGGTCAGCACCCGTATTTCCTTTCCGCAAGCCCTTACCGGCTCGCACTCGCCCCGAGAAACGGCGCCGCGGCCCCGCGGGGAGGAAGACGAGAGCGAAGCGGAAGCCGTGTCCGCCAAGCGACTTTCGAAAGCCGCGGCCGGCGGGCAGCCCGCCCTTCGCCCCGCCCCGCGGGCCGGCGGCGGAGAGCGAGAGCGGCGTCTCCTCTGCGCCCCGCTGGGGCCGGGCGAGCTCCCCCGGCCGCCCGGGGCCCGCTGCCCTTCGGGCTGGAAGCGGCCAGCGTTGAGCCGGTGCTGCCGCCAGCGGCCCCGGCCCCACAGAGCTAAACAGCTCCTGGCGTGCCTCAAGAAAGGCCGAGGGTGCTTCTGAAGGACGTATGCCACCCAAAAATTAGGGTATGTAGTTTACAGCTGTGACAAAGACAGTTAACTGTGACCGTTGAAAGGAATTACTTTTATTCGTACGTACTTCACACTTCCGTCCAAGTGAATGCATTGTTTTCCAGACAGTCTTGAATTTGCCTTCAAGAAGTTGACATTGCGTGTCCTGGTGTGATGATATTAAATATTTTAAGGAAATGACACATACAGGAAAAACAGCCAAATATTTTGAAAATCAATCAATATTTTACGTGGAGGTACCATGGGAGTAAAGCTGCTGAAAACCTGTTTTCCCAAAATGGTTCTTTTACCTGGTGTGCAAGAGGCTGAGCTCCACAGAGAGGTGAGGTATTTGATTTTTCTACAGTTCTGCACAGAAAAGAGTGCTGGGTGTCAAATCCGCTAAGCCAGCATGATGACTACCAAAAAACTATTGTCATTCATATGTTTTCGTAAACAAATACATTAATATTCATTGGCTACAAGTTACATAGTTATCTGATTAATTAGTATCCTATCTACTATTATAGTCTATGTGCTCAGTCTCTCTTTGAGTTGGTGAATTTCGTGGTCACAATCTCCCCTTGCCAGAATTGCTTTCTGCGTACTTGGGGCTGACTTCAGCACAGTTACTGAGTTGGTTTTGTTAGTTTCTTCCTTATCTTGGGAGTTCTGCCAAATGTCCTTGTGGCTTGTAAATTCTGCATTCTTTGTTTCCACTATCACTAGTACTCCTTCTCCCAAACTTTGTTAGCATCCCTCTGGAGCTGTGATTATTGAAACTTTTCAAAGCAAGTTTCTCTAGCAACATCTCTTTAGTCATATAACTGCTCTTTTGAAAGTAGGAGAGGTATTACAATCTTTAATTCATGACTCAAATCACAAGAAACTATTGTCTGTGGCCCAGCTCCATAATAAAAAAAGCATTTGTACTGGAATATATAGATTTTTTTTGCAGTAACATATAATTTATAGATGTTTCCTAAGCAACTATTTCAAGTAGATGTGGAATTGTAGTCAGACTGTAACAGACGATTCACATGTAATTCACAGTGTTTCTGGTGCACTTTTTTTTTTAATCTCAGACATGCTTAGCTGTAATATTAATGACAGAGTGACACCCAGTGTCCAGAAAGTGCTAGAGATCATTCCAGCTCACAGTTACATGCACCAAAATAGCCTTGGCTGTAACCTCTCTTAGTTGAATTCTTCCAGATCAAGAACTAGAAATGTCACAAGTTGTGATGTGGGGGCATTTCACAATATGTTACTTAGGAGGGATCTTCCTCTCTGCCCCTGGGATAAGTGGGTGGATCAACTGTCCCTCCTTTTGCTGTGAGTGCTATACTGTATATTTTTACAGCCTTGCTTCTTATGGACAGGAATACTTTTCTTGAACGTCCAACCCAAGGTATTTTTAGAAATCTCTGTTTTGAGTGCTTACCATACACTGCAGAGGAGCGATGTTTTCTTGAAAGGTTTCCAGCTAGCTATTCATGCTGTTTCCTGTGGTGGGGTGTTTGAGTTTGCATTTGGGTTTTTTGTGGGTTTTTTTTCCTTTGGGAGGAGGAGAGGTGGGCCTTTTTTAGCTTTGATTTATATTCTGATGTTATGCAAGCAGAGATAAAGAAAGAACAGAAATAGTATTTCTGTTCAGCTCGTGTTACTGTCCACTTGCTTAGATCTCGCCCCTTGTGGACTCAGAGACACTTCCTTAATGATGACAAGGTAGCAAAATTACAACATTTTCTGAAGAAGATAAGCCAATGTTATCAGGCTCTTCAGTTTCTGTTTCAGCCAACAAGACTGCTTCATTTTAATCATGCACTAAAGATCATTCCCACTCTATGAGAAAGGAAAGGAAATGCTTTGATGAGCTGGGAAACTAAGGATACTTTATTTTTCAAAATCCTAATTCATTTAAGAGGTTAAATCTAGTGTTTTAAATTAACAGTAACTCTTGGAACTCAGCTTATGCTTCATTAAGAGTTCTAGACTCAAAGAGCTGGAATCCAGCCCATCTGAAAATTCAGTCTCTGTGGATTTTTTCCCCCACTGAAGTAAACTGGTGGAGATTTCCTGTTATCCTTCATCAGTTTTGAAGCCTTGGCTTAAATCTCCTTGAAAATCATGTGCTAGCTTTATTAAGATATATAGATACTTAAGGAGGCCAAGTCACACCCTTGAGGCAGTTCAGATGGACGCTACAAATGGTACTCATTTATCCTCAGGACTACTGAAGCACTCACCTTAGCTTCTGATGACCAGAAGAGTGTGCCCATTGTCTTAGCACATCGTTTCTGCCGGTATACAGTCTATGAGTTGTTGCCCTGTCAGGACCACTGGATTCAACCTTTCAAGATCTCCCTGCATCCATCTGCCATGCTGACTGCCCCTGAAGCTGCAGAGCATGCCCAGAAGCAAAGTGACCACATTTCACCCCAACTCCTACAAAGCCAGGGCAGGACCCAGCAGAGCCACCAAGTTACAGCTGCTGAGCTCCAACAGCTGCACATGGAAAGGATGGTGTGAACCTTGGGCTGTGCCTATTCTCTTGGGGGGATGTAGAGGTGTTTTGTCATTGTAGCCTAAAAATAACATCTTGCTCAGGCTCCTGAAGTTCATGACAATTGCAAAAGGTGCATTTTCCTCAAGTGGAGGTAAACAAGATTACATGTTTCCAGTAGCCTTTGACAGCCTTTATGTCTATCAATTATTGCTTGCTTTTAAGCTTGGACTAATACTAGAAGTTTTGCAAAGGTCAGTTATGCTACTGGCCAGTGAGAGCCACCTACAGCTTGCCTGTTTCTTTTCCAAGTACAGCAAAAATGAGAGTGACTTCAGAAGCATTAAAGAATTTGAAGCCAGAATCTCTTACCTCCAACCTTGTATTGCAAGTGGGCCCGTGCAGTAGGTCTGTCAGCCAGCCTGGTGGCACTCTAAGCCCAAGATGATACAAGGCTCTCTCTCTCCCGCAAGACACCAAATACCAGACACCAACAGCACATCAAAAGCAAGGCCCTCGTTCAGCAAGGAGAGCTAAAAAGGACTGCAAGCAACTGGATACACTGATCAGAGGAAAGCAACGGGGTGACAAAGAAGGTCTGGAGAATTCACACAAGCCAGTTTTTGCAATGCAACACTTAATGCCCCAGTCTTGTCTGCCCTTCTCAGCTCTCTTTAGCATGAGATGTTTCATAACAACACTAAAAAGTGTCAATTCTAAATTGGATTGCATGACATTGGCAGGAGGTGTCACTCACGAGCTGGAAAGTCAACTCCAGTAATACAAACATGGCAAGCATTCTTCTGCCTAATATCATTGAAAAAAAACCCCAAAACATTTACTACCATCACTTTTAGGTTAAAAGAAAAGAAAGCCTATTTTAGAAGAAATTAATAAAAACCCTGACTCCATAAAAAAACCCAGTAATGTCAGATTAGTCTAGCATGTTCATGAAATAGTTTCTGCCTTTCTATTTGTCCATTATTTGCTAAAGCCTTTTGTTTACCACTGCTCCACTAGGCAACAGAGCTAAGAAGACATGCCAGCAGCAGTGCTGGATTTGCTGAACTGGAGTGAGGGGGCTCCCCCACAGCCCTGAGTTCAGCGTGCATCACATGTCACACAGCAGGAGGGACGCTGATCTGCCCGGCAGTCCCCATCTCTCCTGATGGATTCAGCCCTGCCTGCTGTGCTTGCGCTTATTAACATTTGCATCCTGCAGGGAGCTACAGAAGCAAAACAAGGAATCTCCCCAAGGAAGCCTGGAACAAACTCAAAAGTGAGGAAAGCAAATGAAGCAAAGACATAACAAAGACCTAGACTTCAGGTACTTCATTTGTTGTAGGTGAGCTAACTGATGTCTTTACCTTAGCTTTGGTAACATATTT